CAAGATGCAGCGCAACGGATCGAGACTCCACACGCCGCTCGCAGTGATCCAGATGTTTTCATCATAGGCCGTCCGGAAATCGCGCTGAAACTCACCCCACCGCCTACTCAGCGCCTGGATCCTCTGCAGCATAAACGGAATCGTCTCTCCCATGTGCCCAATGATGACCTTGAGCCGCGGATGCCTATCGAACAAGCCTGACGCGAACAGCCGCAGCACATGCAGCCCCGTCTCGGTATGCCACCCCATGCCGTTCGACGCCATGCTCTGGGCGGCGACACGGCTGAAATTGCCCTCGTAGTGTGATCCCATGTCGTCGCTGGGCCAGGTCGGATGCAAATACACGGGCACATCCAGCTCCTCGGCAGCCGCCCACCAGACGTCATACGGGGCTCCGTCGTAGAAGGTTCCGCCGCAGTGGTTGTCCACCAGCGCGCCCACGAAGCCCTGCTCCCTGACAGCGCGGCGCAGTTCGGCGACGGCTTCGTCCGGGTTGTGCATGGGCGCCACGGCGAACCCGGCAAAGCGACCTTTCCCTTACCTAGCACGGGCCTCCTCAGCTTTGATGGCGGCAGCGAGCTGGTCCTTTGCTGCGCGGCAGACTGCGGTGTCATGCCCGCTAAGTCCGGCGCCGTGGCTGATGACTTGGAGCGAGACGCCGCCGGCGTCCATGTCGTGCCGGCGGACATCCCCGAGGTCGGCTAGCTTGGCCAGTACGTTGTCTACATGCTTGAGCTGCTCCGAGTAGGTTGCCCTGAGGGTGTCGGGAACGGCCGTGGAAAAGAAGTGCTCTTCGAGCGTGATCAGTGGTCGGGGTGTCATGATGCTTACCCGGCTCGTTCTGAGTTTCTTAGATAGGAGCTGTGTTGATGGCGGTTTGGCCTCCACATTTTGGATTGCCTTACATCCTGACTGCCCTAGATTCAGTATTCAGTCCCCGGTACCTTCTGTTGAACCATCGCCTGCCGGGTGCTGTGTAATGACGTCGTGCGATCTGAGGCGATGAGTCGATGACGCTCTTGCCAGTTGGGGGAATGGGGGTTAGGGTCACTTTTCCGCTTTGCTTCGTCGATCATCGAAAGCGACTGAAACCACCCACATACCCCGCTAAAATCACGCACATCCAGCAGCCCCAAATCTTGAGCAAGTAAACACTGCACAACAACAGCAACGAGCGGTTAGTAGTTAGTGGTTACGGTTCGGGTTATGGTTAGGGCTTAGGGTCATGGCTAGGGCTTAGGGTTATGGTTCGGGCTCCGGGCTAGTTGGAATATGGAAGAAAGGCGCTCGGTAGGTGTTGGTTTGTATGTATGGCCGTGTCCCGGAGTGATTGGGGAGCTTGTGGTTAGGGTTTTGTACGGCAAACTGTTCTAAAAGCGGTTAGATGGGCGTGTAGTTGGCGATGCACGTGACCTTGCCAAGAACTCAATGCCTTGCGATCCTCTGCCATCTTCAGTCCCGTCCCGCCGAGCACCCTCAAATCGGTCCCAGTCCGCCCTCCTCAGCCGACGCCCGCAGCCATGGCCGGTCCCTCGTTCCTGTTGCAGACCGTGCGGTCGACAACCAAGTCGCTCACCTGGTCGATGCGCGCTCTCTCCCTTTCGGCCGGGCCAACGACCCTGCCGAAGGTGCAGACCCGGTGTCTCTCGCTGGCTATCCTCCCTACTCCCAGGACAACAGCCGCCCTCAAGGGTGCTATTACCCCGTCGCTTCAGGCAGGAGCAGCGGTTTTCCAAAAGCAGCAGACGAGGGGAATGAAGGTGCGCAGCGCTATCAAGAAGCGATGCGAGCATTGCAAGGTAGGATGGAGGAACGCCCTTGCGGGCCTGGATGTGCTGGAGGTGCTGGATATTTGGAGAGTATGGGCTGATCCGACGCTTTCTCTGCAGGTTGTCCGGCGGAAAGCAAACAAGCGGCACAACGGCTATCTCTACGTCATATGTCCCGCGAACCCAAGGCATAAGCAGCGTCAGGGATAAACGGAGGCGGTCTCAGGACGGAACAATGAATTTGATACCAAACCCGGCGTCGTTTGTACGATAGGCACACTGGAGCTATAGACGGGCTAGGATTGGAGTTGAGAGCCATGCTGGAGAAGTCGAGTCGCCCAGCCATGTCACATCATAACGGCCCGCCGGACCGGACGCGCGTGCAAGAAATCCGAGACACAAGCTAGGCATATGGGCGGATGGAACCGCAGACGACAGTGTACAATCGTGGTTAGGTCCAGGCAGTTGGTTTTGCCCTTCTTTCACAGACCGTTAATATACCTCTCCATGCTCTCCCATTCGGTCTTGCCTGTTGACAGGAGGTATCGGATGTGGTCCTAGCCAAGGCGTTAGCATCGATGCTGTTCTAGGTACTGGCGCCGGGAACTGACAATATCCGTGACACCGCGATGCCTCTCGAACTCGTCCCGCGCAAACTTCCGCGTCTCTGTGCGAGTCCTGGCGTCAGCGATTCGGCGTGTACTTCTAAGAATTGACCGGTAGAGGGCGAGAGCCCGTGCTCGTTGAATAAACTGTATGCGGCGAATTAATATGGGTAAAAGAGCATTGACTGATGTCTTGCCGGTCCAAACCTCGACTTACATGTTCGAAGCTCAGCGCTGGGCCAGGTCGAGATCGCCGGCCTGTCGCATATGTGCGAACACTCCGCCACCCCGGAGCCGCCAAAGCGCGCATCAATTACGGATTGAGCAGGAAATAGAACCAAGGAAAGCGGATTGAACTGTTTCTGCAGGGCCCATCGGGTTGGTTACGAATCAGTGGATGAGGCATACAGAGCATCCCCGAAACTCGATCTCCGGCCGGCAACGACGCGTTGCGGCTGCAAAACCTCGCCGCGGGAGCCCCACAAAACGGGGCACCGTTGTAACGGCCGCTTTTTCGGATACCTTACCGACCAAACGTAACGGACATTACCTCTTGGCATCTTCGATTGCAAGGTTGCAAAACACCCTGTGATCCCGGAATTCAAGCGACGATGAAGCCGAAACGTCGACGGGCGCCAACAAATCCGCTAGAGCTTGCAAGCCGCAAGACTGATGAGGAATTCATCGCCGAATACCTGCAGCCCAGGTTAGTTTTCATCATATGAAGATCCGTGAAAGAGAGGAACATATACGCGACAATAAATACACAAAACTGAGACCTAGAGAGGAGAACGGAGATGGTGGGAGGGCTCATATATCTATCAACTCACTAACACCTATAGCAGCTCCGAGAAGTCTCCTTGGGTGACCTCTTGGACTCATCCACGGACGGGTACCGAGTACATCATCAGCCTGGTCCGAGCCGATAGGCTTTCAGAGCAGGACCTCGCAGCTTGCTTCCGCTTGATCGAGGAGACAAGTCGGAAAGACTATGAAAACTCAGCCTGGAAATGGCGCCCTGAGAAAAAGCTCAAGGAGATGAAATCTCCTGACTTACGCTATGTTTTGGTCAAGGAAAAGGACACCGGGCTCATTCGTGCTTTCACTTCACTGATGCCGACCTATGAGGAAGGCCAGCCGGTTATCTACTGCTACGAAATCCATCTCCAGCCGGAGCTCCGAGGGTATTAACACCCAGGCCGCACCCTGGCCTATTGAAGCTTCTCGACTGACTGGCGTTGCAGGACCGGACTGGGCGCATTGCTCATGGCAATCCATTCAACCGTTGGCGCAAACCTGCCGCCCGTGACCAAGGTCATGTTGACATGCTTCTTGTCGAATCAGCGCGCGCTTGCTTTCTACAGGAAACTGGGTTTCGAAAAGGACGAGATCTCCCCCGGCCCAAGGAAGCTCCGTCACGGAAAGACCTTCATCCCGGACTATGTCATTATGAGCCAGGCCGTGCGCTCCGGCATGATCCGACCTACTTCGGAAGGTTGAGCGCTGCGTCAAATCTGCCCCCAAGCCTCACCAACCCGCATGAATCAAGGACCCGGCAGCACGGTGTTCCCTGAGACGCGAGTCCAACGTGAAGTAACAGAATCACAACAACATGGCCTAGACGGCCCAGGGGGCTTTCCAAAAACCCAGGAAGTTCCCCATAGCAAATATCGAGACCGGCGCCGACTGGGAGCCTGGCCTTGCTCTCAAGCAAACCTCAACTGTTACGCTGGTCGACCTTAGCGAATTGTCTGCAAGACTACGCTTGTGCTGTGGCATGAGGAGGCTGATCGGTATGTTCAGATTGTGTTTGTTCTGTTTCTCTCCTTCGTGATGACCACTTTACGTTATTACCCAGCTCACTCAAACGCATGATTGCGGATGTTGAGAACGCGTACTTATCTACTTCCTGACTGTCGTTGCTCAACCAACTTTGTTGTCAACTCGTCTATCCGTAGGTTGAGACTAACTCCAACAAGGTCCGGATCACGCTCACAACGATGCCAAAGGTCACGGTCCTCAATGAAATCGCTCTTTCCATGGCGGCGCTGTAGTTTGCTCTGGGCCGCGCGCGGCCTTGCTCTCAGCAACGATCAGTTTGAGTCGGCGTATCCTCGTGTGTGTCTCGTTCACGACTTTTGCAGCAGACTGCAATCTTCATTACCTCTGTACATTTGCCCACCCAGACTCCAGTAGGGATACGTGTAATGAACACACATTTCGGGTAACAACGGGACTGTGTTCGCGGCAGCCGCTAGCACCTGTATCATGGGCGCTGCATGAGCCCATCTTGGGTCTCTCCACGTCATATGAGACGTGAGGAATGGAGACCTTTAGGAGAAAACATGCAGCCATGACACAAGCAGGACCTGGGAACGAAGAAGTCGTTTCAGTGCCCTTGATTAGTGGTAAGGCAAGGAAGCAACTGGCGCTGACCTCCATGAGCCGAGAGATTTGAGTGCGGCACGGTTAGGGGTCCAGGGGAAGACAAGCCTGTTAGCAGAAGTTGATGGAAATAGGAATGCGGAGGAACATAAACTCATCTTGTTGGATGTCATCCTTAAATCACCAAAAGGGGTGGCTAATACTAATAGTACCAAGGCCAAGAGAACAAAAAATTGAAGAGTGCGGTTTGTGTGGATCGAACACACGACCTTCAGATTGACTTTTCCTGAAGTTTGGCTTCAGTCTGACGCTCTCCCAACTGAGCTAAACCCGCAATCGAATTATTGAGAGATTTACCATTTGCCGTCATTCTATCAAGCTGTCGCCGAAGTCTGGCAGGGGAAACAGCCATCCATGCTGGAACCAACACCAGTAGAGTACCATATCCTTGAGTAGGTAACTTATTACACCTGTTGAATACACTACGGCCAAAATGGAGTAATCTACTACTTGACGCCTGCCTACCATTGATGCTCCCTCGCCCAGATACTACTCCTTCTTCTTCCCCGCCCCCAGCGCGGCCGCCTCCAATCTGCGCTTCCTCCACGCCTTGAGCTCATTGACCAGGCCCATGACCAGCGGCACCGCCACCGGCCCCAGCAGCGGCAAGTAGACGGCGATCTTGTGCTCGTCCGGGAAATACAGCTGCCCGACCATGCTCTTTTCGAAGAAGGCGCGCTCCGCCTCGGCCTCGGCGATGCGCGCGTGCGCCAGCCCCTCCGGTCCACCCAGCGTCTCGCAGGCCATGCGCAGGTGCCGAATCGTCTTGGAAACGCCGTCTGCCACGCTGCTCGGGATCGAGATGGAGGGGAGCGCGAGCGCCAGCCGCGCGAGAGAGCCCAGCGTCGACGAGGCGCGCAGGAGAAGGTCGGCTGAGCGAATGCGGGACAGCGTCGATAGGCGGAGCGGTAGGGACCCGGACCGCGGGGTTCCTGTCAGGGATAGAAGGTGCGAGGTGAAGGTCAAGAGCGGCTGCTTCAGCGCTTCGGAGGAGAGGTGCGGTGTGTCGGGCGGGAGCGAGAGCAGGTAGACGGTGCCCCACTGTGGGATCAGCCACGAGTGAGGGGCAGGGTCGGGGCCCTCTGCCGAGTTCTGTGACGGTGCGGCGATCGTTTGGTTCCCGACAAACACAATGAAATTGACTGTGGGCGCTCCTCCGATCGAAGGTGACAGCGGCCACTCGGCGGCATTGATGAAAGAAGACAGATCCTCCTTGTTGAGCACCTGGTTCTGGACCCCGGGCGTGGCGTACAGCTGAACCTGGGTATCGATGGTGAAGTTGTGGATCGGCAACAGGAGGTCAAGCACAGGCTTCATGTAGTCGCCAATCGCCCCCTCGATATCCCAGCTGCTCGGCAGCGGTCCGCTCGTAAACAGCGAGAAGGTGAGGTGGTAAGTCGGCGCATATTTCAGGGATCTCGTCGTGCGTTTCGAAAGCGTCTCGGCGACGTCCGGTGAGAGGCCTTGCGGTCGGTGCTCCGGAGAGATCGAGTTGGCGGAGAGCAGGTAGGAAATGGTGGCCTGCTCCTCGGCGAATGTTGATCGCAACTGGCCAGCGACGTACGTGGCAAGGGATGACGAGGATGATGTGGGCGAGGGGATAGCATTGGGCGGATATGTGATGTCGAGAATCGGCTCGTGTGGGTCGAGAGTCGCCGTCGTCGCTTCACCAGGAACGAGCCGGATCGTCAGCACAGTGTCGCGGTCGCGGTTCTCGGTCGCTGCTGGCGGAGCTAACTGAAGCCGCAAATGATGTCCGGAAAAGTCATTGAGATCATCGAGGGCATGCTGGGTGAGCCGTAGCAGATTCTGAGCCTCTTGTTCCTGGAGCGCATTGGCTTGGATGGAGATGTGCAGGGGGAACACGGGCCGGCATGCCTGTTGAACCCAGGTGTCAACAAACTCCGACTTCAATGAATGAAGAATTGAGGAGTCGCATACCTTGCCGTCGGCCCAGTCCAGCATCTCCTGCAGCGGGAGATGGGCCCGGTAGATGGTCGTTGTCTTCCACCATATTGGCAGGCCGAGACACAGCACAATCAGCCAGAACGAGAGGATGATGTAGCTGCGACGCCGTATATCGGACGGCTTCTCCGGTGGAGGCTGCTTTCGAGCTGGTACTCCATTGTTAGCTGTCACCCGCCCTGTGACGGCCTCCAGACTTGGAGAATCTGTTGTGCTATCATCAGGTGGCTGTTGAATCAACATGGTGAAGCGGGCTGCTGCCCATGAGTCTCGTCTCCCGTGCACTCACACGCTCCAGTGATGGGTTGGCCAATCCAATCCACTGCTCGGTTCAGACAAGGGATTCTCGTCTCGGTACGCACGTGGAGATAATGGAGGTACGCCGATAACGAGGCGGGTCACGTGTTAGGGGTTTGAGCCGTCGCATCCCGCGTAACACATCGCACATCCAACCGGATATTCAAGTTGTGCTGTCTTCCGTTTTCCCCTCCATTTCTCGACACATCACCAGATCCAACCGCTATTTCGGCAAAATGTAGCGGTTTTCTCGAAGAAAGAGCGGAAAGGTCCTCTTCAGCGGTGATCGCCTTTCGTGACCGGTGACCCCACTGCAAGCGGAATGAATGAATGCAGAAGTCCCAAGCGAATGGATGACCCACCCGGCCAAAAGCCCCTTCTTCCGTCTTTTGGATCCGCATTCTGCCCCGTCATCAGACGTTCCAGCTGCTTGGCTGACCGTACCGAGCCGAGGCACAATGATGGGTATGTAGCATTACCTGCACTTGCGGTCCAGCAGATTGCAAGTTGCAGCATCAGATCAGACGCTTACGTCCCCCATGGAGAGTTGATACTGGGATTTGCAGCCGGCACTCTGGGGAGGCTTTAATTGTCCGGCGCCTTCCCGTTCGAAGCTCTGACCTCCGCGCTCTGTCACCGTGCAGCTTCGGCATCTTGCCGATTCCCCAGCTTAAAACCCTTTTTGTATGGTGTTTTTCACGGGGTTTGCCCCGAATACATGCCAGATAAATACCCAAATTTTCCCGCAGCAAACTTGATGTCGCAAGTCCGGGAGTTGTCATTCTGCTCGTATTCATCCTCACGGCCGCGGTTGCTCTCCCGTCCCAAGGGCGGCGTCTAGAGTGTCGGCGCCGACGCCTGTTTTCCCCTTGTGTGGAATTCATGGTCCTTGACATCCAACTCAGCTCGACGCCTGTCCAACCTACATCGCAATGGCTACGTGTAAGCGCCCGACTGAGAGCCGCAAGCCGCCGGCGATTATGGCACTGGTCGGTGGAACCTTCGACTAACATCAGCCGTCTCGGGCAGTGCCTCTACCTCTTCCCATCGCCGTTCCGGCTTTAACAGCTGCAGCGGCTTATGCGAATGCCAAGTACTTGCTTTCCTACGATCTTGACTTGCTAAGATGCATCGTGCCAACATTAGCCAACGTGGCCTGGTGGGCAAACCGCGGGCGCCTCAACTTCTTCTACCGCCTCGAGGATTTGGCCACTTCCAAGTCCTCTGAGAATCGTGTCTTCCTGCGCTTCGAGGATCGAACCTACACGTATGTCCAGGCCTACGACACGGTGCTGCGCTACTCGACCTGGCTGAAGGAGCAGAGGGGAGTTCAGAAGGGTGAGATGATAGGGCTGGACTTTCAGAACACCGACACTCTCGTCTTTTTGCTCATGGCGCTTTGGGCCCTTGGCGCAGTCCCGGCATTGATCAACTACAACCTGACCGGCAAGCCCCTGGCGCATTGCGTTAAGAAGGCGACGGCGCGACTTGTGCTTGTCGATCCCGTGATAGCTAAGAATGTTGGGGACGATGTCCGCTCGGAGCTGAGCCAAGTCACTTTCGAGACTGTGACGCCGGAGCTCGAGAGACAGATGTTGTCGCACGAGCCTGTCCGGCCGCCGGATGACGTTCGGAACGACGAATCTCACGCCATGGGTATTCTCATCTACACGAGCGGGACCACAGGGCTGCCCAAGGCTGCGATAGTGTCGTGGGCCAAGATTGCGGTGGTTGGGGGGTTTACTTCACGCTGGATTGGGACTACCAAAGGCGATGTGTTCTACACGGTGAGTCCCGGGCAGGCCTCCAGGGCATTGGCATTGCATAACCACTGGTCAAGACTCCGGTATTCTGAGGTTCTAATGTATTTGGACTTTGCTGAACTGACTTGGGAACCATCAGGCGATGCCTCTCTACCATACTACGGCGATGTTGCTCGGTTTCGGCCATGCTCTTTCAGCCGGCGCTACCTTTGCCATGAGCCGCAAGTTCTCGACCAGCTCCTTCTGGGACGATGTTCGAAAACACGATGCCAACATTATTCAATACGTCGGCGAGACTTGTCGCTATCTGCTGTCGGCGCCGCCACGTATCCACCCAGTCAGTGGTGAGAACCTCGACCGGAAGCACAACGTGCGCGTTGCGTTCGGAAACGGCCTACGACCAGACGTGTGGAACCGTTTCAAGGAGCGCTTCGGCATTGAAACGATTGCGGAATTCTATGGCGCGACAGAGGGTAGCTTCGCCACCTGGAATCTGAGCCGGAACGAGTACAGCATGGGTGCCATCGGCCGCAGCGGTGCTCTCTACAACCTTCTCCTTGGCAGGAGCCTCGCGGTTGTTGAAGTCGATCACGAGACAGAACTCCCATACCGAGACCCCAAGACTGGCTTTTGCCGTCGGGTAGCACGTGGAGAACCGGGAGAGTTGCTGTTCAGGCTGCCGCCGAATGATGTCGGCTCGCGCTTCCAGGGCTACTATGGCGACAAGGATGCGACTTCGAAGAAGATCATGAGGCATGTGTTCAAGAAGGGCGACGCTTGGTTCCGGACAGGCGATGTGGTGCGCTGGGATAAGGAGAACCGGGTGTACTTCACGGACCGCATCGGCGACACATTCCGCTGGAAGAGCGAGAACGTGTCGACCGCTGAGGTTGCACAACTCGTCGGGTTGCATCCCGCTGTCCAGGAGGCCAATGTCTACGGAGTGCAACTACCGCACCACGAGGGGCGCGCTGGGTGCGCCGCGGTTGTCTTCAAGCCGTCGGCGGTGGCTGCCGAGAGCGGTTCGCCGAGCAGCCAGACACTGAAGTCGCTGGCGCAGCACGTCCGGGCCGCACTTCCCAAGTATGCCCTACCGCTCTTCCTCCGCGTGGTCAGACCTGGGGCCATCCAGACCACGGGCACAAATAAGCAGCAGAAGACGATCCTGCGCAGCGAAGGCGTCGAGCCTAGCAAGACGGGTGCAGATGGCGTCTTCTGGTTGAAAGGCGATTCCTACGTCAAGTTTAAG